TGGGAAAACATAGTCTGAATGATGGTTTCTTTCTCTAAATAAGGCCATTGAAGATGATGAAATATTAGAGGGCTGGCAAAATAAGTGGCCTGTTTTTTCTGGTTTTTTTCCTTTTCTTCCCCTCGTCCTTATCATAAGCCAGCAAATGACGATCACAAAATATGAGAGAACCTCAAAGGGTGGGTGGAGTCAGCTTGAATTGTGAGCCCCTTTTCAGGGGGTTATTCTTAAGTCTTTCCTTTTGCCTTGCCTTTTTACACTGTTACACAGTGACATGCTGACGGCATTTTCCCGTTAGCGGGTTGCTTGGAGTGGGGGAATTTGCGGTATTACTCTTACAGACGTCTGGTAACGAGTCAGCTTTCTCACCCTCCTGGCGTTGAACTCTTCAGCCTGGATTTGTTTCAGAAGAACTCACAGGGGATTAATGAAACGCTTGAGGTGATCAGGCTGCATTGGACAACAAACTTTAAAGGTTCTTAGAAGTTCAAGAAGGCAGAGAAGAACAATGAAGATACAGAGATTTCTGTTGATGGAAGTGATGCTGCTATTGTAACAAAAAGCAGCAAGGACTGACTAGTCTCAGGAAATGTTACGGACTTTGGCTTAAATACTAGAATGGCTGGCGTCTTTGAGAGTATTCGTGGGTGCAGTCAGTGAGGTGGGGGAATGGGAATATTCTTCCCTGACTGTCAGAAAGCCATTGGATGTGGATCACTCCGGTTTTCCTTTACACTGTATTGCTGCACACTGTATTACTGGGGATACCAGTCTGGGATTCAGGTGGGATACGCAACGGTTGATACGAAAAAACAAAATCTTACACTTGCATATCTAAGTGTGAGAATCCTCGTCTAGCTGGATTGCAGTCTTGCTGTACTTCGAGGCAAGCATGAGGATGATTGGCCTGGATTTCACCTCTGCTTTAACTTGCCAGGCAGAGGAATGGATCTGATGGACGGATGTGTGTTTTGCTCTTACTCATGCAGGCTTCGTTGTTTCTGAACAAGGAGATGGCTGAGCATACCTGAAGAGAAGAAGATGCAGTTATGGCCACAGATGGGATTGGACACTTTAAGACTTCAGGACAACTTGTTTTTGTCATGTAACCCACATCCTCAAGACTCTGCTCTAGAGAACTCTTTTGCTCTTGGGTGCCTTCCTATTTTCTTCAGTTTGAATTTGCACTCGTCTAGCAACAACAGTATCCTGGAGCTTCTCATCACGAGGAAACAGGCTGTAGTTATGGTGGACTCGAACTTGATGTGCGAATTACACTGCTCTGCTTTGTAGAGAGAAAGTGGCTGCTCTGCAGGCTGGAAATTCTGCTGTGACGTTTTGGATTGGATGATCGCTTTGGGATGATGTGTTTAGCTTCCAGTGTAATCAGAGAGTCTAGAAAAAGCGAGGCGATCCTGAATTGATTCTGTTACCATTAAGCAGTGTGGTATTTAACTGTATGCACAGGTAGTGTGTAGGATAATCCACTGAAGAGATCCTGCAATGTCAAGATGGAAGCTTTGTGCTTACATATAGTAATTTCAACTGTGAATTCTTTGCTTTTGTCCATTTTTACCAGACATCTACCTCCTTGGCTTTTTAAAATGTAGTTTACAGTCTCTGAAAATCTGAGATAGAGAAATATTATGTAGTGGTTTGTGACAAGCATGCATGTGAGTAGGGTGATACTGGCGGTGTTTTAACAGACCAGTTTCAGTGAGGATGCCGTTAACCACTCTGTTGGTTGTAGGTGGAAATTTCTGACGGCATTTGGGACTTTTTTCAACCTGTGCATACCTGACTGATTTGACAAGTAGCTAGAGGAATAGTGGGGGGGAAGGCTGTGTTTAAAAACCTTTCAATACACTACGACTATTCCTGGCCCAAGTTCCTGGTGAATTTTTATAGCAGGTTTGGGGTTGTTTTATAGTCGAGTTCCTGTGAATTTAATACACAAAATTTATAAATGCATTTGTGTCCTGTAAGAGCTTTACTGAAAACTGTTGGTGGTTCTGTTGAATTGTTCAGGTGTTCCCAAACACACAGGCTGAACTGAAAGCAACTTGGCGGTGAAGGGACTTTGGTTTTTCCCCTTTGATTTGGGCTAAAATTTTCAGAAGCATCTAAGTGATTTTTATCAAGTGAATATATGTTAGATAAGACTCAGACTATTCCAAACTGTAAATTGGTCTTAACGAGTGCCGGGCTTCTGAGTCACTTAGGTCACTTACCTCTCAGAAATGTGACCTGAATTGCCTGATTTCCACCCTTACCCCTTTCATTTACCACTTTCTTCGTTCACGTTTGGGTTGTGACAGCCGCGGGCGAGGGCACGCCGGGACAGGCATTACTGCCTGGAGCCCCGTCGCATCCTTCAGGGCGTCTCAGAAGTGGCTTGCCCAGGCGACTGCCCCGAGCGTGTCTGACAGGGTAGCGCTTGTTAACATGTGGGTACTGTATATTACAAGATTTTTTCTTGAAATATCAGGTGCTTGTTGGACACTTTAATTTGAGTATTTCAAATAGCTATTTTTAACAGTGTTTTAAACCATCAGCAACTGGCTGTCCTGATAAAAGTGATGCTCAGAGTGCTGAGTATTGACTCCCTTGTATCAAGGTATCAATCCATGTCCCGGCTCTTCTGATTTCCCTTGGTTAAAAGTTGGGAACACACTGTTGGCCTGGAGGGCTACTTTTAAACATGTTTTTTAGCGATTAATTTTTTTAAATATACAATTTTTGTATAATCTGTGTTTCATTAAAACTTTGTTACTGCAAATGTTCTGAGTTTATTGACTATTAAAAGTACTAATAAAAGTGAAGTATGTAGAGAAAATACTTGCCATCGTAATAGACTCCTAAGGAAACATGAACTATGAATATTGTCTTACTGTCTTTTATAAAAGAAAGCATGAAACTTTAAAGGATTAGAGAACTGACAAATATGGCTTGTGTAGTCAATACAGAAACAGTGCTTGTCTCTGCTGCCTCTTTATTTTGAGTGGGCTTATTGCTTAGACAACAAATACCTGGTGCACATACTCACGTCTTGCCTACTAGATGGTTAAAGTTTAATGCTTTTTGTGATGATTAGAGTGTATTTTTATAGGAAGTGCTTTTTTCTGTGCTGCTTCCCTTTATCATCGTAAGAAGTAGTAAGCATGGATTTCTTATTTTTGTTTTCCTTTACTTTTCAGGGTGAATTTGTGAATGAATATGTTGGTGAGCTGATTGACGAAGAAGAGTGCAGATTGCGGATCAAACGTGCACATGAAAACAGTGTAACCAATTTTTATATGTTAACTGTAACAAAGGTAAATATTATGTCTTGTTCAATATAAACTGTTTATGGTTGAAACTAGGGGTAAAATGCTGGCAGAAGCATCATTCCATGTTTGATGTTACCCTCCTACTGACACCTGAGTGTTGGTAGGAGGATAACATCTGTGTTTGTCTTTAACGGAATGGGTGAAGAGGTGAAACAGCCTGTATTTTAGGTTACGCACTCTGTGCCTATTTCACTTCTGTAAGCACAAATATTCAGACACTTTTTCATAAAACTAACCCTGCAGGGAAAACTTACCACTTTTAACTAATTTAGAATAAGCATATTTTTTGCTGCCAAAAAGCAGGAAACCTTTTTTTGTTTAAGTACTAAATATGTCTTTGTCTTTTTATTTGAAGGACCGGATAATAGATGCTGGCCCAAAGGGGAATTATTCTCGTTTTATGAACCATAGTTGTAATCCAAACTGTGAAACACAGAAATGGACAGTGAATGGTGACATTAGAGTTGGACTATTTGCTCTTTGTGATATTCCTGCAGGTAAAAAGATGGCACTATTTTGCATGTATACCTTTGTCTTGAAATGGCTAAGTTCCTAACTTGGCCATGGTTTTCTCTGGAGTTACTTAATACCAGTGACGTTTATAGGAACTTTGTCATTCATTGGAGTGGAGACAAATATTTGACTTCCAGTTTTAGCAGGGATCTTACAGTTAGAAATAGTTTGAAGCTGAAAGCTACTGTTAAAGCTAACTACAGGGTTTGCTGCTAAGCACGATGTTAACCCTGTGTCATGTAAACGCTTACCATAGCGTTGATGCTTTCACCGATACTTGTCTGGTGTGGTATTATCTTTCCATGTTAAGTGTGTTACCTGATCTGTCATTTTAACTGGGTCTGTATGATAGTGTAGCTGCTACTTACGTCTGATCTGGGCAGAATTTGCAACTTTCGAAGTTTATGAAATCAATGCACTACTTCAAGCTTGCTCTTTCAAAACATGTTGCTGCTAGATCTCACAGACTATGAAGAGATAAATGCTAATGAAATGTCATTGTCACAGCCTGTCTTTCCTCAGTGCCTGTGTGGGTGAATTGTTTTTCTTTAAATTTTAGGAATGGAGTTAACATTCAATTACAATTTGGATTGCCTGGGCAATGGTAGGACCGAATGTCATTGTGGAGCAGAAAACTGCAGTGGTTTCCTAGGAGTGCGTCCAAAGGTACATGGATGAAAATTGAAGCTTTGCTTCCCAAATCCAGAGATCTAGTGAGAGTAGGGCACAGAGAGGTTTTTGTTTCATTTAACTTTTTACTTTAGTCTATGTAATACTTTCCACCCTTGAAAGTCTCTAAAGATTTTAGTTATGCACTGTACTGCTGTTGTGTCTAGGATGAAGTTAATTTACCAAATTGTGTTAATTCAGATACACGTGGATGGGCATTTCTGGCTTTCATAGCTTAAAAACATTTTTGAGTGGATTTAATTTAAGCATAGTTCATGCAAATAATAACCCAAAGTTGATTAAATTAATTTTAATGTAAGGGGTTTATAAAGTGACTGTATGCTGTGATCTTTGTAATTGCTAGACAGCATTTGCAACGGCAAATGAAGAGAAGGTGAAGAATGCAAAATTAAAGCAGAAGAAACGGAAAATAAAAACAGAACAGAAGCAGATGCATGAAGACAACTGTTTCCAGTGTGGAGATGGGGGAGAGCTAGTCATGTGTGATAAAAAGGACTGTCCCAAAGCATACCACCTCCTATGCCTTAACCTGACTCAACCACCTTTTGGTAAGAGCAATTGTATGGCTTCCTATTCAGCTTTTCCTTCCTGCAGCAAGACAATGTTTGAGCTGAAATGCAGTATTCATTTACATTAAATGCAGCATATTTGCTTTTTCAGTACCACTCATTTTTAGAAATACATCAGGTGGCAGTGTTCATAAATGAGAACCGACGGACAGAGAGGCATTGTAATACTTTTTAATGTTCTTTTTGTTGCATCTCTTTCTTGGATCAAATTTCCTCTTCTTATTTTGATTGAAATATAAGCAGCATCTTGATGTGCGCTCGGTGACCTTGGGACATCAAGTGACAGTTCAAACCACTGACATAGCAAGCGTGATGCGTAGGGCTCGATTAATGAGTAAATGTGTTTAAATTATGTACTGTATCCTGATGGCACGTATCTTCCATTTGACTTTCTCCATGTTAAAGCATAGCTTTTTGTAACCAGGGCTCAAATTATTCAGCAATACAACATCTTGATCCGATTGTAGGATTTTGTAAAAGTCCTTATCTCTTTAATCTTCCCGATTTCCAAAGACTTCAGTGAAAATAATTGGAAGTGCAGATTAGTCTATGATTATATTAACCAAAAGGCTGCCATGAGTGAAGTTGAATCTGTCATGTGCCTTTTCAGCCTTCTAGAAACATGGAAACTATCCTCAAAATAGCTGATTTGCTAGAGAAAGAAATGATAGCATCTTAACACCAAGAGCAACTTGAGTTAGGTTTTTTGTTTGGCTTTGTTTCTCTTTGAAGTTTGGGGGGGGGGGGGGGTGGCCTGGGTTAGCCTGGCCCAGATAGGCTAGTTACAACTTCATTAGAGGTCTGGAGTCCCATCTTGGTGCTATTCTCGCTCTTCGGGATGCAGGTCTCGACGCACTGTAAATGCGGTGCGTCATTTCCCTGTGAATAAAAGGCCCCCCGTTTCTCAACAGTAACCCAGCCAAAAGGGACTTCAGGGAGGCTTGGACACAGCAGCAAGAAGCTTTTGACTTTCCTTTTTTGCCATGTTCAGTATACCTTTGCAGTCTGAGAGTTCAGCACATGGTCATACAAATACATGTCTGAATGGTTTGGGGGATCTGGGGTTTGTTTATGCTCAAACGTATTTTTACACAACTTGTTCTTCTCTGAGCCATTTCTCGCTTATTTTTCAAAACTAATGCATTCAGTCTTCTACATTAAAGTACGCTGCAGTTGAACTAAAACTTAATTTGGAGATACCCATCTGAGCGAGTACTGTGTCCAGGTCAGTAAGAGATGCTCACAAATCAGAAAAATGTACAAAACAAACTCTCCATCTTGCAAGGACATTTGGTGTCTTGATGCCCAAGGAGGTTGATCTAACTATTTTAAGCTCTGGTTATGCATGCAGCAATGTTTTGAGCCAAGTGAGGCCTAAAAAATGCAAAATGACTAAGAACTGTTTCCAGTCAGATTCTTGTAAATGAGAAGCAGAAGTAGCAACTACAGTAAGAGCTGATTTTTCTGAACTTTCTTTGCATTCATCTGAACAATTACAACATGGAGTAAGGGTTAAAGGCCAGTGCTGTCCCCGAAATGCACTAATTTCAGCTTCCTGTCTCTCTCTTCTCCCTTCCCCTCCCATCCTCAGGAAAGTGGGAATGTCCGTGGCATCAGTGCGACGTCTGTAGCAATCCTGCAGTTTCATTCTGTGAGTTTTGCCCTCATTCATTCTGTAAAGATCACGAGAAGGGAGCCCTGGTGGCATCAGCGTTGGATGGCCGTCTCTGCTGCTCTGCACATGACCCCAAATCTCCTGTGGCACCCGAGTACTGGAGCAAGATAAAGTGCAAATTGGAACCACAGAATCCTGTAGAAGAAGCAAAGGAGTGAATTTGGTTAAAAACAAACAAGGGAGGGGAGAAGAGGGGCAAACAGGCGATGAACTTGAAGAGACTGCTATGACACATTCAGTCTTTGTCATCGGAGCCGTCGTGTGTGAACTGGGAACGGGACCATTTAATCTTAGCAAGCAGAAGCAGGCAGTGGTGTTTGTTTTTTATTGTTTGGTCTTTTACCCTTGAATGTGCTACAGCAGCTCTTACTGTTGGAAACCAGAAAGGTCTTGGCCTTCAAAGAAAAATGTAGACCTTTTGACAGTGAAAAGAAAATTCTGTTTAAAATATGTTCTTTGAGTGTAGAAAGCAAAGCATAGCAACATATTTATTTATTTAATTTTTAAAGGGTGTTGAAGATCTGGTTTTGATCAGTCAACGTGTCTTTAAAAACAAAATAGCAAAGCCAATGTAACTTTTATGTCTAGTTTATGAAAAGAATAAAGCCTCCCCACTCTGTGTAACATTGAGATGCCATAAAGACAGATGTGGGTTTCAGACCAGGTGACCCTGAAATGCCTCCATTCCAGTACTTATTTTTAAAGGCATTTTGAGAAGGTAGGTTATATATCTTGTTAACTTATGAATATTATTGAAAAGCTTTTCCTATGAGAAATCAGGTGTATGACTTCTTGGAAGTGCTTGTAACACGAGATCTAGCATTGTTTAAGGAGGGAAGAAATCGTGGTTCCTTGCTCGAGAGCTATAATCGGTGTTTGCAGACAGGTGGAAATTCAGAAAGAGCTTAATTGCACAATGGTAATTTCTTTATCCTGCCTAATTTGGAAAACCTTCGTAGTTAGGAGAGCCTCCCGGCCTCGGTCACATACTGCAGCACACTCAGAACTGAAGTCTTAATCCTGCCAGTGGGAGCTCTGCCACTGACTGCTTTAGATGGAGGATTGTTCTGTGCACGTGTATTTGTCATCTGCCAAGTCTGCACTTGTTTTATGGCAGTTATATTAGCGTGGTTCTTTATTGCCGCCTTCTCAGACTCCCTTTAGCTTCAAAGGAAATTTGAGCGCTTAAGGAGTCCAACCCATGTGCATGTTTGTTTTGATTGAATGTTTAGATTTTTTTGCTGAGAGAGATCTTCTGACTTTAATCTTCGTTGTTAATGGAGCTAAGAAAAATCTCAGCACTTCTTCAATGAACAGGGTATTTTCTGTCTGGGTAATGGGCCATATTCGCAGCAGCCAACTTCAGCCTCATGAGACAGTTCTCTCTTGGGTTTCTTCTGTTAATCGGTAGAGAGACAGGCTCCTTCAGTGAGGCTTTTGAAGTGGCTTAGGTAGGCTCCTGCTCCAGATTTTTCTTTTGAAAACCTATCCTCCTCCATTTCTTGTGCAGGGAGCCTAGGGGGACTAGTTTCCCCAGGCTGAAGTTAGTCTTTGGTGAATCTTCTCCCCTGGCCCCCCGTCTTACAAAGCGCTGTGCATCTCCCCCTGCCCTGATACAGTTAGAGTGTACTTTTGACTTGTGTACCGATATTAGCTAACTTCATGCTAGCTTTTTGCTAATGGGTATTGAAAACAATCCTGAATGAAAAGAATTAAGTGTTGCTGGCATCTGGCTAAATTAAGCCTTTGAATTAAGAATTAAGAACCTTATCTCTGGAAAACTGCTTACATAAACCTACAGGAACACAGTGACTTCTCAGTTCAAGAAAGTAGTAGGCTGAAAAAGTACATGTGGGATTTTGGAACGTGTCTTCCCTCTGGCTGGTGTCCTTCTCATCCTCAAATTTATGTACGGGGGGAAATTTTTTTGTGTGCAATTGTAAAATTACAAAATACACTACAGTCTCTTTAAGCAGCTGCTGTGCCATGTAACTGATCCGGCAGTTCATCTTCTGAACGGTCTGCAGATGCCTTTCCTACAAACTTGTGGGTGTCTTGGGTGGCATAACTGTGCAGATCTCTCGTGGGTCAGTTTATGGTACAGAGGGCTAATGGGATCTATAAAGCACTTCATCTTGTGGTCCGTACTACAGTGAATGTCTGAAACACTACTCTTGCTTGAAAGCAGTGCTATATTTTGGTATTTTTTACAAAAAAAATTTACAAAAAGGATTTTATTTTTCTTAACGTTTTGTGTGATAAATGTCTCTTTTTAAGCTCTTACTGGGGGTGTTTAACCTCTTCAGAAATTCCAAACATAGCTCTTGCTACAGTGTCTGTAAGGCCCGATGTGTTTATATTATTTATTAGGCTTGGTAAGGTTCAAATTGTTTTCTCTTAGAGCATTCTGAGTATCGCAAGTACGCTATCGTGTGGGGGCACCTACATGCTCTTTTCATTCTGTGTCCGTGGTGACTTCCTGACCGGAGGGAGATGGTGTGGTAGCACCAGAACACCCTCGCGAGCATTCGACATGGCAGGGAGCAGACGAGAGCCATGGACCATCGGTCGCCCCGTGAGACGTATTGCTGTGACGTGCCGGTGCGCCGAGTATCGCAGAACATGTGAAGGTTCACAGAAGGCTTAAAAACTTGTAAAATGCTGTGAATTGAGGCCTGCTGCTACTCCTGTGCCATGCCACTTGATGTCTTGGTTAACTTTGTTTTCAAACTTCTTACAGGTGCTCCTTTTTTCCACCAAAAAAAGATTAATAATAGCTAGCAGTGGGGCTTGGACTTAAAGGGAAAATAGGAGATTGGTTTATAAGCTTGTACGTACTTAGGAACAGAAAGTCCGAACTGGATTTCACGCTATTGGAGAGAAGGTGGATCTTTCACGAAACTTTAACATTCTGAGATAAGAAAATACCTAATTCAAGGTATCTTGGTAACTGTAGGGGGTCTGTTCTGTATGCCAAACGCATAATGTTAAAGTACGCATTTTAACCACATTTTTACAAACGGAATAGAACAATAATGCAATTTCTTTGTAAGGAAAAGATTTAAGAGCTGTGTTTTGATAATCGGCATCAGCAGAGGGGGAGTCGGCTGCTGGTGGTCCCTAAATTTGCGTGGTCTCTAAAATGAGATAAGTAATATTGGGCAGTTCGGTCATTCCATGCTGAGGCCTGGAAGAAATCCACAGAACTGCTGGTGATTTCGGTTGAGGACTTAAATCTGCTGTTTAAGACTGTCCGTTGTTCCTTAACTGGGATGCACCATCACACTTTTCCCTTACTTTTGTTTTAAATTTTTGAGATAGCACCACGCACCTGACTCCAGCTCTGCCGCCTGTGCGCTCTCTATAGCATGCGGTGTCCGAGTTGCTCTGCAAAGTTAACGGGATTTTGTTGTTTACTGGAGCTTTTACTGTACAGCTCGCACCTTAGCACAGCGCAGACGTTCTGCAGACCGTGGCCAAACGGTGCAATGGCTGGTTACTACCATTTTCTCCATACGTGGTGCAAGCATTAGTTGTTGTAGCTTTCAGATTATTAGGATAGACTTGTCCTGTCAATAGACTGTTGGAGGCGTTTGCAGCTCAGGAAGGATAATGTTAAAGGCAATTTTGTGGGCAAATTACCTTCTCTGGTCACCACCATGGTCTTAGAGAATCTTTTAAAATGGAGTAATAGGGCTGGAATGTTTAATTTTGGCCTTTCTTCTAAAAAACTTCTTGTATCTTAATTTCAGGATAGAATGGGAAAGACACAATTACTAGACGTGATTTAACAGTGAGCATAAAATCTGTATATATTGAAACTTTACAGAGATATGTGGGTGGGGTGGGGGAGGAGGGTGGGAGGGGGGATGTCCAACGCTGGTACGAAGTAGTCACTTTAACATTGAAACCTCTGCCTCATTGAATTCAGGGTTTAATGTACTTGAAGCTCTGCAGTTCCTTATACAGCTTTTTTATTTATACATAACTTTTTTTTGTATACTACATTGAAAATGTCTTTGACTTCCCTGAAGTTACTTTCTGCTCCCACTGTACAGTGAATCTATGGCAAATGGGAGAGTTTTTCAAAGCAGCTGTCTCAGACTTGTGTGTGTTCAAGAAGTGTGTTGCATGAGAGACGGCAACCTTGGAGTCGTGCTGTCCATTTGCTTTCACTTTTCCATCGACTTTCCCCTACCATTTATCTTTGTGTAGCAAAAACATTTGCACTTACGATACACTCCTACACTTTGGATGTATTCACAATGTTGTTCTGAGGAAAAAAGGAGGAAAAAAAAAAAAAAAGGGAAAAAAAAAAAAGGAAAAAAAAAAATCTGTTTCCTATTCTGTTCTATCCCTGAGTGGCAAGCTCAGGTCCCTGTTACCCCTGTGAGGGGCCATCCCACTGCTCCGGAGAGAGGGGAGTTGTTAAGCTGAAACTCTGTCTGTGCTTTGCACAGAAGACTTCTGTAATTAATGTGAAATCAAAAAGGGAAAACGCGTATGAATTTGCCAAAGCCATTCGCTCATTCCACTGTTTCTCGTGTGGTACTAACTGCCGGGGGGGGTGTGCCCGAGAGAAGCGAGCTGCCTTTCCTGGCGCTGTCCCTCCCGGCTCCAGAAGGCGAGGGGCTGCGTGGTGGTCCTCTCCAGACATCCTGGCGCGGCCGGGCGCCGGACCCCTCTGAGCAGTTCTTACTCGCTTTTGGGTTATAAACAGGCTGGTTGAAAAAAACATCTCCTCGTCACTGGTCGAGCTGTATCTCATTTCTGGTGTCACTTTTCCTTTTCAAACCAACCGATCGCGTTGCCACAGAAAACAAGGTGATGACTTACCATTTCAGCTGGCTGGTAATAAGGGTTTTTGTTCCGCATAGGGGTGTGCGCGTACCTGGGGTTGCTGTGAGAAACCAAACCCGTTTGTTTCCACGCGAGTGATGTTGCACAACACAGATACCTGCAGATTCCGTTTCCATTCCCATGTACTCTTTATCTGTAAGGATGACCTTTGTAGAGTCGTTATTTCCGTAGACTTTGTTTATCTGTAACAAACTTTGTAGATTCTGTGAAATGTTATTTTAACGAAATCACTCGAGTCTTTAATAGCAAAGCATCAATATTCACTGAAGTCAATATCTTAAGAGTTTTTGGAAGTTGACTAGAAGCTCTTGACACTAACGAAGTAGTGTTAAATTTCCCTGGCGATGTTCCACTGGGGCATTACTGTATTATGACTTGATGTTGCCGCATAGACTTTGAGATATACGATATTTTGGGGGTTTTGTTGTTCGGCCTATGTTCTCTTGCATAGTGTGAAACCTGTAAAGCTTGGTTAACCTGTATATAGATAGCTTACTGTCAACTAGTTATAGCGTATCTAGAATTGCCTGTAATATTTTAGCTTCTTACTGAATGTGTGTGATGGTAGGAACATATAATTTTTGTACATTATATTTACTGAGATGTTGCCTTTTTTATTTTACAAATACTTTGGAATTCAGATGTGGTTTTGCTTCCGTGAGGATTAATTTGGAAAGGTTTTTAATGACATTCCACTGATTTGAACTTTTGCTTGAGGTTGACTTCAATAAATCGTTCTGAATGTTCCGACGACGAAAGCCTCCTCCATCCCTCTCGCCGCTGCCGGCGGGGGCGGCGGCCGGGCCCCCTCGCAGGGTGGAGGCCGGGGCTTGCGAG